CTGGATTAACCCTCAGTGAAACATAGCCGTTTCTCTGAAACGGCTATGTTTTCAGCTGCAGGGTTAAAACTAGCGGGACCTGGCACCCAGACCACTTCATTGAGCTGATGTGATCAGGGTGTCTGTAGTGGTCCTTCAAGTGTGTGTGCATACCGCAGTCGCGGGGTCGCAGCCCTGCGACCAGGTGCCCGCCGCCATGTGTTGCGGCCCCGACCCGCGCCGAGTAAGCGCGGGGGGGGCCCACGGATCAATTTTCGCACCGGGGCCCCATGGATCATGTGTACGCCACTGTGTGACATGTCATGATTCCCTTTTATTCCAGAAGTTTGGTCCTTAAGGGGTTAAACTCCCTGAAGTCCAAGATTGAAAGGACACTTTTTTCTTCCAAGTTAGACTCATTCAGCACCAACAAAAATTGAACTTGTGTCTACCTGATATTTTTGTTTCTTTCTATATACTCATAGTCCAAAAAATATGTCACTGATTGGGATTAAAGGAACACTAGACTGACCAAATACAAAAGAAATAAAAATCACTGTTTAGTACATACCGACACCCCGAATAAAAACTTGCATGCATTACATTATGTATTTTTGCATTGGGGATATATCTAAAATCAGCTTGCAAAACCTGTAGTTCTCTCTTCTGCTGCCTTTGCAAACTCTCCCCTTCTAACCCCACCCAGACTTTCTGTGGCAGTCCAATCACAAACTTCCCAATGTCGCTCAGTGAGAAGTCTTTGTAAGTCATGTGCTCTGGGCAATTGCTCCCTCTTGAGGTTAGCTGCATTGAACTAACGAACCAGGAAGTAACTTTATCTTTTGTATGCTTGAAAGCCAAGGGGGTGTAACCAGGTTAATTTATAAAAGTGTAAATTTCTATTTAAATCTGCACTTTTTACAAAATTAAAAAAGAGGACACACTCTTCACATATAATACTTTTCAGCAAGTTAAAGTTGTTTAGGGATCTGGGGTGATATGGGAGAATGAAGAACTCATGACATATCCCCTCTTTACTATGATATGTCCTCTTCTCTCTAGCAATAAGTAAAGCACTGATGTTCTCCGAGATCTCAATGAAAGCATAGCCAGAAATATTGAAATGCTGCACTGCTTGGTATTCAGTGCAATCCCATCACACCGCCTAACTAGTACAACAAACTTCTGTTCCCCAGCACTCCCTCCCTTTAGTCATCTGGGAGGCACAGCCCGTCCTCTAAGTAGCCAGGCAGAGTACTGTACTACTGATTTTTCTTTTTATAACAATTGGCTTGAGCCCCCAAAGTCATACTAGCAATGCCTATGGTAATAAGTAATATGGCAATCAAATATGGTAATAGCCCACAAAACCAATGACCAATGAAAACTTAAACTCAGTACAGAACATAAAGTCATAACAGATGTGCAAAGTGCAAGTTACTATAGAAATGCTCACAGAAAATTCTTGTCCAAACTAAGTATCAACAGTTAAAAACAGTATATCATATGCCATTCAGTAAAAGTTACTGTTAAGATGGGCCTTTTGTCCTTTTGACCCGAGAAATTAGCAAACAAGGAATCTGTTTTTGAGGCCCAAGGGGCCTCAAGAATATTTAAAGCCGCACTGTCATTTCTGAGTTTTTTAAAAGCCTTTTTTTGGGTCTATTTCTATGAAGTAGGGGTTATTATTTTATTTAAAAAAAAGTTATTATGAACAGCAAGATCTTTGGCAATCATTTGCAACAGGCAGATATTAAACAAGGCTCCTTTGCAGTTTCCAAAGTAATTTACCCACAATCCATCAGTCAAAAGAATGTCATAGTAGGGCAAGCTGCAGACATTATGGAGAGAGAACAAAGTGCTTGGATATTGAGATGCAATGAAAGCAAAACTGAGAAGAAAAAAAATACACTGCCGCCTTAAGTTTCATGACCATGGCCTAAAGTGGAGAAGAGACATTCTTTTTCTTTCTTTATAAAAAAACAAAGAAGTGAATGGTTTGTTATTACATGACTAATAGAGATAGAAGAGGCTAGAATGTGCACATAAGTGCATTTCTTTATGAATATTTTATAATTTAAGAGGCTTATTTACTAACTCAGCACAGAAAGTTCACTTGATTTGACCTGAGCCAGTCTTTGTTCAGCATGTCTACTGAAAACTGTAAATATTTGTTCCATCATTGAAACTTTTTTTCTTGTTAAGGAGCAACCACTACATGTTAAGCGCAAAATCTACTTACGCTACTTGTTTTGTTATGTGTACATGATGTAAAAGTAAACACTTAGACAAAACAAGAAACAAGCATAAATCAAGTTTATCTGATGGTAGTCTATCACTGCACTGTAAATTTGCCTTCATGAAGCAAGCAACGTAAATCGGCCAACTGTCCAAATTCGTGGCTGTTTGATACATTTCTTTTTTTTAGTATACACTGAATTGATCAGAAATGTATATGCAAATATATGACTAAGCCTTAAAATTGACCTTGGATTGCTGATAGTAAATAACTGAATTAAAATGTTAGGCTATAATTTGAGATTTTGCTATTTTTTCCAGAAATATTGCAATTCAGCTCAGTCAGTCTTTAGCAAATAATCTTGTTGTCTGCTATTCCAATTCCTTCAAAACGGAAGTCGTCAAACCTCAAAATGCTATTCCTTTCAGTTGCCCTCATTTTTGATTTCTAGTCCACCTTAATTTTTCTCTATATTTTAAGCAGTTTGAGCAAACAATCTGCAACCAACTTATCATCGTCATCTTCTTTAATAGTCTTCCCACTTATCAGTATGACTCCTGCTCTCTCCACACTCAGTCCCCAACATCCTCAGTCAAGCACAACAGCCCAAATGTTTTGCAATCCTCACCTTCCTTGACCTTTCTGTCATTTTATTATTGATCACCTTAGCCTTATCTTAATTTTGGCTAACTTTGATATCACTGGCTATTCCTTTACCTGACTGTTGTGCTATCTTTTCATATCTTGCACTTGTTGCACCTTTGTTATATTTTATTTCTCCTTTTCATCTTTTCATCATTTTTCCAGCTTCTGTGATTTCTAACTCCTTATGTTTTCACACTTCCTACAAATAAACACAGTTACGTCTAGGTGCCTTTCCCGTACCATTCCATGTCCTCTATCACTATCTTCCCCTTATCCACACATCAAAGCCAATATGTTAATGTTTTTTTAAAGTCTCACTCTTTATTTTTTCACCAATAATGTTTATTTTAAAGACATAAAACACGTTCAGTAATGAAACCACAAGGATTGTGATATATGTAACATGTCACATCATTAAGTTCTGCTGTGGCTAACATTGGTATAAT